TTCGCCCCCCCCCCCCGCCCCCTTTGGACCCCCTCAACCCCTCTCCGACTGGCGGCCACTCGCCGCCACAGGACCCCCGTTAAGCACTGTGGCCTCTAACCGGTATAGGAGCCTCTTATTATATCAGGGACCCGAGCATTGTGAATAGGGGCCCGGCCTCGTTTCTGCTTCTTGGGAAATGGGTCTCATTGGCTCAGAGGGACGTGGAGCCGACTGTTCGATGTTCATGATCCTACCGACTTCTCATTGAATGCTTTCCTTAGTCGGCTCGGGGCTTGTGCAAGCACATAAACCTCTGTAAGGCGCTGGGGGCCCTGATAAATAAAGGCCCCCGACTGGTGTAAATCACTGGCCCGGCTTCATCGCTGACTGGGAAGTGGGCCCTCAAACCCATGCCGACATGAACCGCCTGTGCGGTACTGGTGGTCCTGACCGACATATAGGCCCATGTGGACGCAAGGGATCCTCGATCGGCGTTAAGGCTCTCTGACCGTTAGAGGACTCTGACCGGCCCTATATGCCCTTGGGCCCTCAATCGCGTCGCGCCGTTGATCGTCGGACCCGTGGACCCTCTAGACTTTTTGGCCTCCTCGAATACTGCCCCTAGCCGACTCGGGCCCCTTGAAATACAGGCCCCCTGTTAGTCGCTGTGGGGCCATGTGAAATGTAAATCGCTGGCTCCTGCTTTCTCTGCTTGGAAATGGGCGCGTAGCCTCGTTCTGCTACGGAGCCGACTGTGCGTTACTGCTGGTGTCTACAAGAAATATGAGCCATTATCGACTTGGTGGTGGCCCATGATCAGCACGCAAGACCCTCTGCCTGGCATTGGAGTGCCTGGCCCCACTGGCCGGGACTCCTGAATGGGACCTTTGGCCGGCCTTTCGGCCCTGCGGACCTTCAAATCGGGCCCTTAATCGTAGGTTCCAAGAGGCCCGAAGACCCTCTCCGTACCTACGGGAGGGTGGTACTGCCCCCTGTCTCCTCCCTGTCCGCGCTACTGCCTACAGCAATGCAAAGTATGGCGCGCGGCGCCGTTCGAAAATCATTCTGGAAAAACCTTTCCAGGGGAGGGGAGAAACTGACTGTCCTACACACGATTGGGAAATCTAATGACTCCATTTGAATCCAATTACGGAGCACTGTGGCCCTCACACATCTCGCGGCAGAAAAATCAGACGTCCATAGGGAAAACGAACTCGAATGCGTATTTCAAGCCGCCGGAGCTGGTAGCGCCGTCATTAGACGGTAAGCACTCCCACTAAAGGCTGCCCGGCGCATTGGCTCACCTGCCAGTGAGAGAAGTCGAAGCTGAGTGTCCGACTCATCGGGTAGTTTACGTTAAGCGCTCTCTGCTCGCTCTTTGCAGCACCCAGCGCGCTTAACAAGTGGGTCGTCGCGGCGGCGAGTAGAGATACTTTCAAGCTGAGAGTGCCTCGATCAATTCCACCGCGACCTATCTCCCAGTTTGCGAACGTTCGTAAACTAGCGCTGGAGTTCCCGCTAATGCTGCGCCTAATATTGCAGTCCCCACGTCTAAGTTGGTTGCGAGAGCCTGAACAGTAAAAAATGGATCCCAAAATACGCCAGCAATCGAATTCCTCCTCAGGTCTGGCTACATTCTTCTCAAAATTAGGGTATAGAGGGGAGGGAGAGGGGCGCTTAGAGGCCTCAAACTGAGAAATACTATACCTCTGATAATTATTATACAGTGTGGCATATAGTTACTGGTGTATCATCTTCTAAGAGCGTTCACAGTTTTGGGTGATCTGACAACCGAAAAATAAGCAAAGTCGGCTTCTGAGTCAGCAAAGTCAGCTAAAACAAGCATATCACAACTAATATCTTGACTCTTGGTGGGGCACCAAGAGTCAAAAACAGGCCACGCACGGGCAAACGAGAATGGGGGTCGACATGTTCCAGCGACTTTCTGTCAATGCTAAGCACAATGACAAACTCTCAGCGATAAAGTCCTCATTCTTGCCTGCACATCTCATAGATCTGCTATGCGGCACACACGTCGAGTGCGTGGCCCTGGTCACCCGTTTAGAGCTCGTTAATCGTCCTTTAGATTTTACTTCAGGCATCGTGTTGCCTAAAATGTTTGCGCTTTTTCACGCAAGGATAATTTTTTCGATTTCCAACTTCAGAAGCAGCAGCTACTCTCCTATCACCTTTGTACTTGGGCTCATTTTTGATGAATATCTTTCAAGGAAAGCGATGTCCCTGCGCCGAACTGAACAGGAAACGTGTCCAGTAGCGCCGAACACACAGCCGTCAGAACAAGTTAAATTTCGTCAACATTCAGGTCTTCCTTCATATTGTCATCATTCAACGTTTGAATTCATCACCACAAGCACACTAACATGTCGCATATATCAACACGCGTGGCCGGTTGGCCGGTAAAATACCCTCCGCTCGGGTGGGGGGGGGGGGGGGGGGGGGGGGGGGTGGGGGGGGGGGTAGGGGTCGATTTGTCCACCCCGATACATGAAAAACTAAAATAGGTATACCAAATCACAGGATAGATTGGCCTGTACGTGGACTCATTTATATCCAAATTCAAGATCCCTAGGTTATGACCTTGAGGCCAAATAAGTTCAAACAGGGTCAAACTCCAGAACGGTTGTTTCAACTGCCCCAGACGTCCTCATGCAAGATAAGTGAAGCTTGATACCTATTTTAAGCAAAATGTCACTAAATTCAGTAACCTTTTTGGACCTTTATAAGTCAAGGTGCCCAAACATCCACGAGACTGCTTCTATTTTGTCGTTGAATAAACGTCAGAAGACCATGGAACATGTTCTTTTGGGGTCTCTGTCATTAAGACATTCGAAATGAGCACCAAAACTATCTCATGAAAACCAAACCCTGGAACAAAAGGCAGGCTAGTTTTGACTTCAGTGTGGTCCTTTATTCTTTGACCTTAGGTCAATGAAATAGTTCGTAATTTGAAATTCGATTGGTTTATAAAAAAACTATCCAGATAGGTATGTCCTTGTCTAACACTCCGTGGTTGCATTACATATACCGATTCCCTAGAAATGCCCTTCATTGACAGCCATGGCTCAACTTTGACCTGCCATAGTTCTGCGACCTTAAAAGGTACATCCAATTTCTTAACACCATCCAATTTACATCTAATTTCTTTACAAAAGATCCGTTATTTAATTCTCTGCAGCTATGCAAAGTTCGGCGCAGCGTAGCCGCGTTGCTCGGGAATAATTCAATTTGCCAATTTGCCAATATGGCCCCCCCTCCCCGGAGCGCATGTTAATAGCATTAACGTCATTCGGCAGCTATAGCCGCCATGATGACAATGCAGATGGTATATGCTTCATACCACGTCGCAAAAGCATAACCGCCATGCATCGAGCAATGCAATTCAGTGTAGGCTCGTCCTGGGCCATGTAGCCATTACCACGCCTGATGAGCCTTGAATTTCGTCTTATTTAGATCAAAGGGTTATGAATCTGAATAACCGGGATGCGGTCCATCGCGTCTGAGGTAGTCCTTGTCATGTCCAACAATGCCGAGGTCATTTCGAGATGACGGATAATAGCCGAGACTCATGAATCCAAACGAACCACTGCATTCCGTAAATGGGGAGAACCGGCCCGAGCCCTTCAACACAGTTCTTGGGACGTGAAGACCGGTCCAGGCTTATGTCTTCCTTGGCTAACTTAACGCGGCCAGCTTTACATAAGCCGTTTGCGACATAAGACACGAGCAGTGGCCGGCTGTGTCAATAGCATTTAAGACGGGAACCATGTCGTCTAACTTGGATGCGGCATCTCCGTTAAGTTTGCTTAGGGCGCAAACCAGCTGCAAACTATTTTAATGGTATTCAGGTCA